TCAAGCGCTGCAGACGATATAAACACATCTGTCCCTGGTTGAAAAAACTGCACCTTCTAGTCGGTCCTCCTGAGTTTACTTAACACACGAAGCAGCCACTTCGTACCCTCCACTCCTGAACCTGGTTTACCCAACGACCTTCCAAATGACCTACATCTCCCCCCTCGAGCAAGCCAAGCGACTTACCCCCCTTGGCTGATCCACCAATCAGTGAGGCACCACCTTCCATCGAAGAGGTGAGAAGGGCAGTGTCTAAGCTGAAAAGTGGAAAGGCTGCTGGTGTCTGTGGGATTGCTGCAGAGTTGTTGAAGGCGGGTGGAGAAGCCATGATCTGTGGTTTGCATGCAGTCCTGTCTGCCGTTTGGGAGACTGGTACCATTCCCCCTGACTGGAAAAGGGGCTTGGTCATCCCTATCTGGAAAGGGAAAGGGGACCAAAAGGACTGTGGCAACTACAGAGGTATCACATTGCTCAGCGTACCAGGCAAGGTCCTCACTCATCTGCTTCTGGCACGAGTGCGCGACCACCTATTACGAGCACAGAGACCTGAGCAGTCTGGTTTTACACCCAAGAAGTCAACTATAGACCGTGTCTTAGCACTTCGTGTCCTTGTGGAACGCCAACTTGAGTTTCAACAGGGTATGCTTGCAGCTTATGTTGATCTCAAGAAGGCTTTCGACTCTGTGCACCGGGAGAGTCTCTGGAGCCTACTGGGTCTCCGTGGGATCCCCTCTGGAACTATTGGTTTGCTGTCTGGCCTGTATACAGATACTGAGAGTGCTGTCAAGTGTGGGGAGGGCATCTCTGCCTTCTTCCCGGTGTCTGCCAGGGGTGAGACAGGGATGTGTCCTGGCCCCAACCCTTTTCTACACTTGTATGGACTGGATACTTGGCCGTACCGTGAACCGTAGTTCCTGTGGGGCATCAATTGGTAATTTCAAGGTCACAGACCTTGACTTTGCCGATGATGCAGTGATTCTAGCGGAGACATTAGAGGTCCTGGAAGTAGCTCTCGAGGCGCTACATGAGGAGGCAAAGCCATTGGGACTCGCGGTCAACTGGACCAAGATCAAGGTTCAGGAATTTGGGGACTTTTTGGATGTCGATGCTCAGTCTGTGCATGCCTGTGACGAGAACATTGAGGTCTTGGATAGCTTCACTTATCTTGGTAGTGTAGTGCAGAGCGACGGAGGTTCCGACCGGGAAGTCACTCGACGACTCGGACTGGCCTATGGCGTTATGGACTCACTCAATAGGAGTATTTGGCGCTGTCGGTATTTGACTAGGAGAACTAAGATCAGGCTCTTCAGAGCACTGGTGATCCCGGTCTTGCTCTACGGGTGTGAGACCTGGACACTGAACAGTGCTCTGAAAGCCCGTCTTAACTCCTTCGGTACTAAGTGTCTTCGCAGAATCATGGGGTATACCTGGAGGGACCATGTGTCCAATCAGAGGATACTCCATGAGACTGATTCAAGACCTATTACCAGTCTGATACGAGAGCGCCAACTTCAGCTCTATGGACATGTGGCTCGTTTCCCTGAGGAAGATCCGGCTCATAGGGTCATCTCCGAGGGGTTGACCCAGGCTGGAGAAGACCAAGGGGAAGGCCACGGAACTCATGGCTGAAGCAAGTCGATCAGATCTGCCAAGATGTACTGGGAGTGGGAAGGAATGCTGCATGGAGGCTCGCTCGGAGGGACCCCAGGAGATGGAGGCAAAGGTTGGGCGCGGCAAAGCGCAGCCATGCGTATGCCCCCTTATGATGATGATGATGATTACATAAATATAAAACATATTAATATAATACATAAATATAAAACATATTAATATAAATACATAATATAAACATATTAATATAAATACGTATATGATATATATATATAATACATATATGCACTATATATATATATATATATATATATATATATATATGTAATATATATATGTAATATATATATAATATTTATTACACTCCCATCTCACGGACGGAAAATTATATATATATATATATATATATATATATATGTAATACATATTAGCACAATATATATACATATATATGATATATATATAATATATATATTATATAAATTACACTCACCCTCTTGTCACGGCCGAATAAATCTGATCTGAAGGAGCCGCCGCATGAAAGGACACGTTCGTCAGACGGAGGAGAGAGACACGGCAGACAGGCCACATCACACAGGGTGCAGCTCCACAACCTCGATCACGGGGACATGGGGTATCTTGGGGGTCTCATATCTGTCTTTAACAATAAACCAGCAAGCTAAGGCCCCTTTCATTGAAACGCCCAAGACCATCTGACGTGTCGTTCATATTGTGATGGCAGCGATGATCAATAAGTTCACAACGCCCACACTAATTCATCTATCACCATGCTCCTCGCTGACGCCTGTTGTCGGTCCACGCTATCTGCCGACAAGCTACTCCTGTCGAACTGCCTCTCTTTACGCCCAATTCCTCTTCTGACGACGATTGCGATTTGACACTCAACGAACACACACTATTAACTCTATACTATATAACTTCACGCTATCAACCATTGTTTTTTTTCCAACACAACAAACCTAGTCAGACACTAAGATTTTCTGCTATTGGTGTTTTGTCTAATATTTATTATTATTCTCCTCATACTGCAGTTCATTACATTTTATTTTCTCCCAGAACAAATAACTATAAATTGATATGTTCTGTTTTCTCCCGGTATGTTATTCATATTTACTGCTACTATTTTCGTTGTAATATTATTTTCACCTGCTTACTGTACCCTACTAGTAAGTGTATCATTACTACTACCTTTATGAATGTGTGTGTATATCGTCCGGCTCAAGTATAAATACTTGCCTATTTAGCCCAAAGATTTGCAATTCTTGTCCAAGTAGTTTCAATATGATAGCACTCCACTGAACTCGCTAATCCTAACAAATCCACATCATTAACACCATTACTTGACACGTTACCCTTCTTGTGTCAAACTGTTATTACGCTCTCATTTTTTTCGGCAACTTAGTAAGGTGATTGACAAATACATTACTATCCTCCTCCTTAGCCCTTTTGCTGGCCCGGTACACTTATATTTCATCCTCTGAAGACGATGTAACCCTCCTCGCTAATGTGAATGTGCGAAACCTCCGCCACACCCGCTTCTCTGTCACGCGACGACCCTAGCGACCATCGGATCATCAGGAACCATCTGTAGATACCGAGCAGGACCTGTATTCCTATGCGGTATTTCAGTGTTTCAAGCGCTGCAGACGATATAAACACATCCGTCCCTGGTTGAAAAAAAACAGCACCTTCTAGTCGGTCCTCCTGAGTTTACTTAACACACGAAGCAGCCACTTCGTACCCTCCACTCCTGAACCTGGTTTACCCAACGACCTTCCAAATGACTTACATCTCCCCCCTCGAGCAAGCCAAGCGACTTACCCCCCTTGTCACGGCCGGATAAATTTGTCACTCCACCCTGCAGCAGCAAGCACCGACCTGGAAGGAGCCGGCGCATAAAAGGACACGTTCGTCAGACTTAGGAGAGAGACACGGCAGACAGGCCAGGCTCCAGCTCCACAACCTCGTCCTCGACCCCTGGGACACGGGGGTCTCTTGGGGGTCTCATATCTATCTTCAACAATAGACAAGCTCAAACTCATTTCATTGACCATCTCTCGTATCGTTCACATCTGGTGGATTGCGGTGGTCTCTCGCTCACAATATATGTGTGTGTGTGTGTGTGTGTGAATGTATATACATATATATACACATACATATATGTATGTGTGTAAGTATGCATGTATATACATATGCATATATATATATGTGTGTGTGTGTGTCTATGTATATACATTATATACACACACACATATACATATTTATACATATAACATATATATATGTAAATGTATATATATACATAAATATATGTGTGTGTGTGTATATATATATGTATATGTATATGTATATATGTGTGTGTGTGTGTGTGTGTGTGTATTTGTGTGTGTGTATTTGTGTATACATGTATGTATATACATACTTATATATGTGAGTGTATGTATGTATGTATATACATATGTATATATATGTGTGTGTATGTGTATGTATATACATTATATATACATATATATTATATATATGCATGCAAATACGTATATACATATATACACATGTATGTATGCATATATATAAATATAATATACATATATGAATATATACATATATATGTGAATATATATGTATATATTATATATTATATATATATTATATATATATTTATATATATTAAACATATATATTAAATATGTGTACATATATATTTATTATACATGTATATATATTTATATATGTATATATACATTATATCATGTATATATATTGATGTATATACATCACATTACAAATTTATTATCAGTGTTTTTACTTATTGTTATCATTCCTCGAGGCAAGTATACTACATTAAATTATTCAGACCGGCAATTTATGCTATCCGCGAGGGTCGGTAAGGAAGAAAGGCAGGAGGCGGGAGTGGAGAGAGAGAAAGAGAAAAGGGAGATGGGGAAGGGAGAAAGTCGAGGAAAAAGGATGGGGGAAGGGAGAAGGTAAGGTGAAAGGGAGGGGGCAGATGGAGGGCTTAGAATGGGAAGGGAAGAGTGAATTAAAGGAGGATTTTGAAGAGCGAAGTTAGAAAGGAAATAAGAGTAGAGAGGAAGGAGGAGGGTGAAAGAGGGAGAGGGAAGGGAGAAGTATCTCTTATTTCCTACTTTTTTATGCGTGAAATATCCATGTTCACGCATACGGACACACTTTTTTTTTCATTTATCTATCAATTTATATACATAATGTCAGTCATTCGCTGTCCAATACTGAGTCAAGGCCTTCCTTACTTCCTTACTTACTACACGAATTTCTCCCTTGCCACTTGTCTTGCCATTAGATATCTTCCTAATTTCCTCTGTTCTGTTGTTATCAAACCTTGCCACTTGAAGCTCTACGCAGTTCTGTTTTGTATATCTATATATCAGTCTATTTGTTTGCTAATGTAATTTATGCATTTATCTATTCATAGACTAGTTTATTAAATGATTTACTTATTTTTTAAATCTATTTATTCATATACAAATAGGGCAGATTTAATGATCGTAGTTTCAGCTTCATAATTTTTGGTTCATTTGCCGTTTTGATCCGCCATGTAACAGGTTCAGACAAAGCGACTGGTGGCTGGACAACATGCTAACCGGAATCCCGCGCATCATCGTTGGAAATTGCACAGGTGATGGCGTTGTAAATAGCATGGAGCTCCTTAAGACAGAGGATTTACCTGCACTGGCGGAGGTAAGGTTTTACGATGCTGAAAAATATCTGCAATAATGTTTGAAGTCAGTCATAGGATTTTATTTATCAAGTAGCATCTCCGGTCCGGAGGTTGACAACCAGTTGCCACCAACTATCTCTGTCCTCAGCCTTTCTCTTTGCATCTGCAAGCACGTCGGTTTGACTTCATTCTGCGATGCCATTTCCCCAGGTCCTTCTTTGCCTTCCTTTAAATCTCAACTTCCTCTTGGCATGAATTTAATTCTTTGCTTAATTCTCTTTTTTCTGATCATTTCTCGTTATTCTTTATTTTTGAGCATATTTGTTTATTTTCCTTTTTTATTATGTTTTCGTTGTTACTGGTAGTTCCTGTCCCCTTTGTTCATTTTAACCTATATTGATGATTATTATTCCTGTTCTTGCTGCTATTTATTCATCATTACGTTTTTTAATACTAAATTCAGTTTTTTTTCCAATATTTGTATATAAAAAATTATCCCTAAATTTTCGTTTCCTCTGTTGTCTTAAAACTTAAATTGTAAAGGTTTGCTTGCGAATACCAACCATGTAGAAAGAGAGAGAGAGAGTAAAAAAAATAATAAAAAAAATGAAAATAAATAAATAAATAAATAAATTAATTAATTAATAACTAAATAAATACAGCAGACGGTTTCCCAACCTTTGCAGAATGAATGGGATCCCGACGTCTATATAAACTTCTTGGTGAGTTTTATCAATTTCATGAAGCAGAAAGTGGCAAAGGACACCACGGCTGTGTACATGTTTGAACGCCGGGCTAGGGATAATATCTACTGCTCAAAGCTGTCAGAACCAGCCAGTGCATTTTTGCCCTCTTGGTATACACAAAAGCTGCTTACCAAGACAAATCTGACGAAGGAAACACCGAAGATGCAAGTTAAACACGGATAATGTTGAAGTTGTAAGTCTGACTTGCCTATTATGGCGTGTTTATGTGGGAAATGTGTATTTGTTTGGGTCTTTGTGATTAGTTCCAGTTTTAATGATTTTGATGTTAAATATATGAATACTCGTTTCAGAGAATTGCTACTGTACTTAGATAATGATGTAATTACTTGTGAATTAGATCTTTAAATATCAATTTCGTGTACCTTTTAAACTGCGATAAGATATTGATATAATACATAATCAGTGTGGCATTGCAATTAATGTGTGATAAGATGAACATGATATATAGTTAGATGTGTGACACTGTAATCAGTGTTTATATTACCTGAATAATTTTGTTGCTAGCATGATAACACTAGGATTAATGTAATCATTAATTTCAAACTAGTGTTCTGCCTTAATAAAACTAACATAAGCCTAGTTTGATACAGAATCTTGTGTCCAGCAATTATGTTAGTAAATGTGATTTATTTCCCTGTCACTTAAACCAATGTACTGTAAGCTATCTTGGACACAACTGATTGACTGGTACACAACCTCACATCACTGCAATTACTGTTTAAATAAGAGCTGGACAGTCTATAAATGTGACATGGTCTTTACCTACAAGCAGTGTCACTTCCCTCCATGTTGGGGCTCCTTTCTTCTGTCCAAAAGCTGTGCACAATAAATAAATAAATGACTCATTATTACACCGAGTTTAAGGAATTACTTATTGTTTTATTATTACACCGATTTTTAACGAATAACTCGTCGTCTGTCTTTACACCGATTTTAACATATGATTTATTGTTTTTCAATATCACACCGATAAGATACGGAATGCACTGAAATCCCCCAGTGAGCTATCGCGATCACTTTGTTAATGTATTTTGAATTACATGTTAATATTTCATGCTTTGTTGATATTCAAGCGGCAGGATTTATAAATATAAATATATGATACACCATCTTATTAGCATGTATTATGTTTTCATCAAATATATACATACATACATACACACATACATATGTCTATACATATATATTATATACATAAATATATATAAATATATATGCACTTATATACATGTACATATATATACAATGTGAACGTGTGTGTGTGTGTGCGTACGCGTGCGTGTGTGTGCGTACGTGTGTTTGCCGTGTGTGTGTGTGTGTGTGCGTGTGCGTGCGTGCGTGCGTGTGTATGTGTGTATGTGTGTGTGTGTGTGTGTGTGTGTCCTACATAAATATCCATATATTATGTCTAAATATGTTTCTATATATATCTATTTATGTTTATATATCTATTCATGTTTATATATGTCTGTATATATTTATATATATGGGCCTATATATATTTATATATATGGGCCTATATATATATATAAATATATATATATATATATATATATATATATATATATGTATATATATATACACACATACACATATGTGTGTGTGTGCGCACACATACACACTATATATCTATTATATGTATAAATATATACATATATATATATATATGTATACATATGTATATATATATATATATATGTATATATATGCGTATATATGCGTATATATATATATATATGCACACGTGCTTGTCTATACTCACATACATACATATATAACTATACATACATTTATGTCTATACATACATTATATATACACACATATATTTTTCAACAACCATTCACGCCACGGCAGGCCTTTCTCAATTCACTATTGAGAGATTATTTGGCAGTGCCATCCATGCCCAACTGGATGCCCTTCCTAATCAACCGCAGTTCGACGCGCTAATACTTATACCATGGCGGTGACTTCTCCTATGACACAGACATTTTTTTTTTTTTTTACTTTTCAAAGCGATATGTCACCTTCTCGCCGTGAGATCGGCGAGATGACAGAGAAAAGGGAGGAGGAGGGGTAGCGTCATGGGACATGTTGGTGCACGATTTTTATTATGGAGAAACAACCTGATTTTTTTCATGCCTTTACAGGAAAAAGGTTGTCATGTGACACTATGACGGTGCGTGGGGACTGGGGAGGGGAAGGGAGCACGTTGTTGGTGCACGTAGGCTGTTGGTGGAGGGTTGAGTTTGAAGGGGTAAAAAAAAAAACAGTTAAATGTTCACTGTGCCCATAAATTCCGCTACTTATATTTACATATGTACTCACACACACATATATGTACTTATATAGAGAGAGTATGAATAAAAGGAATGATCCTACTAAGGATAACAGCTCAAGAGAATGGAGCAAAGGAAGGCGAAAGAAGCGTAGCAGGGCGACGAGGAGCAGGAGGACGAGGGAGCGAGGGAAGCCGGAGGAAGGTGCGAGGTATACACTATGCTTTTCGTGTCACAGGATTTTTGCCAAGGCTGTGTGAAAAGATGATATTTCATTGCTAGTGCTCTCTCACCGGCGCGCTCCCAACAATTCCTGCTGGATCTCTTCAACAGGATTTTTTAGGGAGGCACAGCGCCAACGGGATGGAGGGAGGCTAAAATGCAAAAATATTGATGATCAGTTGCAGAAGATAATCAACTTCAGGCTGTCATCGCTTTGGGGAAAAGTAATCGTGTTGACAACAATCGAGTTTAAAAGATTCATATCGACCACTGGTTTTACCGAATGTATACACTGTGACACCACAATATAACAGTGATTTTGAATCCTTACTCTACCATACACAATCGTGTCATACTCATAAAGCTTAAACGATTATTTAAGAAGAACATTTCCCAACTTCATACTGAAGTTTCTTACCGAAAGGGAATTGAAGGAACGAGGGGGTTCGATTCCCTGTGTTGGAAAACCAGCTGCGAGGGTGCCACAAAAGTGAAGTCATAAATGTACGTAGTGTTGGCCTTAGTTCAATCACTGCCTCCTTGTTTAGGTTTCAAGTCTTACTGACATATCCTCCTCTACTTTGTACAAGATGTCATCCTCTAAACCAGGTATCCCATCTACCTGATACCAGATCTCCTTTAACTTATACGAGACCTCACTGTAGAACAACAAAGCAAGGAACCACCATAAGGGGACCAGCTGATCACTCATCAATATTTTCATCACAGTCCGTAAAGGAAAACGGGAGGATGCAAAGGACTTATCAAACTATACTGACACAGAACAAAATATAGAAAGCCATTCTAGTGGGCCCAGGGGGAAATAAGAGGAAGAACGAGAAGACAACCATCAGTGGTTGCAACGTCACCTCGGCATTCTTTTAGTTGACTAGAGAAGTGATTAGCTTTAGCTTTGGTTAAAAAAGGTCTGGCTTGTCTCTTTAGGTCTTTGTACTTTTGTGGTAAATATTCATAAAGTCTGTTTTTTCTTAAGTTCATTCTGTGCTGCGTTTCTTTCATGAACGCGCGGATGTAGTCAGTTATCCAAGGGCCAAAGGGGTCATCTCGGGTCATTTGCAATAGTCCATCTGCCTTTGTCGTACGTCTAGCAGCAGCTGAATCGGAGAGGGAGAGGAGTTTTCTCAAGAATTTTTTGGATGAGCTCTTGGTGACTCAAACCTGATTAATGCCTAGGTCTCGACAGTGTTTATGCAAATCAGCTTAGCCAGAGTTTTTGTACAGGTATTCTCGAGTTGTACTGTAGGGGGTAGTGCATATAAGCAGGCAAAGTCCACCTTTATGACCGGTAAACAAGTTACTGTTCTTCAAAAAGTTATTGAAGAGAGAGAGAAAAAAAGAGAGAGAGAGAGAGAGAGAGAAAAAGAGAGAGAAAAAGAGAGAGAAAAAGAGAGAGAAAAAGAGAGAGAAAAAAGAGAGAGAGAGAGAAAAAAAAGAGAGAAAAAAAGGAGAGAGAGAGAGAGAGAGAAGAAAAAGAGAGAGAAAAAAAGGGAGAGAGAGAAAAAAAAAGAGAGAGAGAGAGAAAAAGAGAGCATGAAGGAACGTGGGAGAAAGGGTAGAAAACGAAACCACGCACATGCTTCTTCAAATAACTCCTATTCCATCCATTTACGGCCATGTTGCTAAATCCGTCCTCCCCCCCCTTTCTCTCTCCATCTCTCTCTCTCTTCTCTCTCTATATATATATAAACACATATCTTTCTCTTTCCTCTCTCTCTCTCTCCATCCTTTATCTTTCCCTCTCTCTCTCTCTCTCGCCCTCTCTCTCCCTCGCCCCCCCTCCTCTCTCTCTCTCCCTCGCCACCCCTCCTCTCTCTCTCTCCCTCACCCCCCCTCCTCTCTCTCTCTCCCTTGCCCCCCCTCCTCTCTCTCTCTCTCTCTCTCTCTTTCGCCCTCTCTCCCTCCCCCCCTCTCTCTCTCTCTCTTTCTCTCTTTCTCTCTCTCTCTGTATCACTCTCTCTCTCTCTCACTCTCCATCCCTCTCTCTCTCTCTCTTTCTCTCTTTCTCTCTCTCTCTGTATCACTCTCTCTCGCTCACTCTCCATCCCTCTCTCTCTCTCTCTTACTCTCCATCCCTCTCTCTCTCTCACTCTCCATCCCTCTCTCTCTCTCTCTTACTCTCCATCCCTCTCTCTCACTCTCCATCCCTCTCTCTCTCTCTCTCTTACTCTCCATCCCTCCCTCTCTTCTTTTTCATTTTCCTTTTTTTCCTCTGACTCGACCCTCCCCATCCTGAGCTGCAACTGCACAGCCAAGGTCAACAGGACAAGGCAAACACGTGCTTGAAAAAAAGCGAAATGAGGAAAAAGAAAAGGTCATATTTTGGTGTATTTGCTTGAGTGTATTTCCTTACTTGTGTATGTATTTTCTATTGTATGTTTGGGTTACTTAGTGCTTTTGTTTACGTGTGCATTTGTATGTGTGTGTGTGTGTGTGTGTGTGTGTGTGTGCGTGTGTGCGTGTGTGTGTGTGCGTGCGTGCGTACGTGCGTGCGCTGTACCACTTAGATGTTCATTTAGAAATGCACACGACTATATATATGTATATCGAAAGTTAAATCTAAATTCAAATCTGAACACAAATTTAGAGAAGAGAATCTACCCAATTCGCCCTGAAATTATGTACATTAAAATTTCAGGCGACACATACACACACACACACACACACACACACACACATATTCTTGAAACAGACCAACACAAAGAGAGAGAGAAAAAATCTGACCTCGACTATGGAATAAATATCATAGGGCGACGAGAAGGCCGAGTCAGTCGTGCATCAGCCGTCGAGGAGACACCATGCGCGCCTCTCTCGTCCTCCTCGCTGGTGTCGTCCTCCTCGCCCTCCTGTGCGGGTGAGTCCTAGGGCGGGGGGCGTAGGTCCTTGGGAGGGGGGGATTTTGACCTTGGTGTAAGATTCCTTTTTTCTTGCTTCGTTGCTTTTTCAATAGCATGAGCATTTTTTTTTTTTTTTTCCTCTTGCATAAACAGGCCTTTGAAAACGTTTGACCTTCAAAGAATGACGTTAATTCACGCTCTCTTATGATGCCTATTGTGCATGGTGTTTGCAGGACCGAGGCTCACCACTGCGAGGATTGCAGAACCGTCTCCTGCCCGAGCACAGCCGATTGCATTCACGGCACCCAGCGTGAACATTGCAACTGCTGCAACGTCTGCTTGAGGGTGAGCTTAATACAAGGATAGGTGTGCGATGTTGATGTTAATGATTTTGCGGGTAAGGTTCTTGTGTGTGGAGGGGGTGCAAGTGTGTGAACGTGTTTGTGTGTGTGTGTGTGTGTGTAACAATAATCATTCAATAATTTAGGACTTGATGTGATAGACTCTTGTGATTTG